TTTATTATTAGTTTTGAAAAACATTTACTTCAATATAAATGCTGTTGCCCATACGAACCCACAAGTGTTTCACAGTGACCTGTTGCTTCAGTTTCGATCAGACCTGTATGCTTGTTTTAGTTAAACCCTCTGGGAAACAGCGTAAGGAATTCTTTGTGGACTTATCCATAACAGAACAGAAGACTTCAACCGCACGAGTTACGCTGAATGATCCCAATCCGAGACACTTAATGATCTAGCTCACAACGGAGTTCAGTGATGGTATGGCTGAGTGTCGTAAACAGTGGCGTTCGTGCATCTTCTCAATTTCTTTGCTTCATTAGTCCACTGAACTCATCAATTTTCTCTTTGATCCTACTTCCAATTTTCCTGTTCTCCTCCTATTGTTCACCCGAATTGGCAGCCAAACGACAACAACCAAAAGTGTCGCACGGAAATGCATGCATAACGATTGTTTAAANAACTGATTATTGTTACTTTCCCCTTGATCATAAAAAGGACAACCGGTCACATGAGCAATTATATTCGTCGACATATCATGCAAGTATGTAAGAAAGGACCGATTTACTGTTGAACCTTACCTCCTGTTATACCATTTGTTTTGTAATTACCATTAGATTCTATTCCTCTAAATTTGTGCATACATTTGTACACATATTACAGTCCCCCCTCCCCGCGAAAACCAATTGTGTAGTGATTCGTTCCACGCAATCTAAATATGGACCAGTGTCAAAGGTATGCATAATCTTGATTTAGGAAGCAACCCGGTGAACATTAGTGGATCCTTTGGTAACTCTGTTGTTCACTCAATTTATGGGCTGGCTACTGTGTTCGTGTCTCTGGAAGTTACTTAGGTAGCCAAGTACGATAGATCGCAGAATTCCAGCGGGGCCTCGGAGATCAGCTGGGAGAGCGCGTACATGTGTGCGGTGGCTCTGCGAGAACTGGAGCACCACAGAAACTCGTTCAGTTTTAGTTCGCATAACTATTAACCACGCAATTTCGTGCGCCACTTTTCGTTGCTATCTTTCGATTACCGGTTTGGATTAAGCTGCAGGAGAAAGATAAAAAATGTAAAGTCAAAATCAAAATGTAGAATCTTAGTAGAATAAGGTTTGAGAGAAATTTGGAAGATGCACGGACGCCACTGTTCACGACGCTCAGTGTGTCTATGAATTGATTACAACGACCCCAGTGACCTCGTCTAGGTAGCCTAACGCGGCATATATGGTCCAGTTCCTTAGTTAGGGTTCTCATACCCTCATGCCAGGCCTTAGTTTGACGATCCTTGGCTTTCTGCACTCACTGCTTGCCTGGGCAAACGTCGCGCACCGTGGCAACCTATATAGTGCCATGCGTGACGCATGCCCGTAGCAATGTAATCTATGGAGGTCGATCACCTCCTCCAGTGGACGACCGTCGTTGTCTAAAACTCGGCGTTCATCTCAGTACTGCTCGTTCGCTAACCCCATTAGACTCGTGCAATGCTACGCAGACAGCGATGTTCGAACAACGACAGTCTATCTTTATCCTGTTTTATTAGCCTAGTTTCTGCATTGTGTCAGAACTGGCCGAACTGGTGCAGCGTACATTCGACCCTTGATAGACAACCGAATGTCACGGCGGCGCCACAGATGTCTCAAGTTGGCAAATGCAAATCGAACCTTCTCTCTGTCCACCGGGTTTTATATAGCCTTGAAATAACAAAACTTGTTCATTTGATCTAAAGTCTCATCTAGGTTTAGGCTGGTTCTGGTCTGATTCAGTGTTGTAGCCATATTTTTCGCTTTGGAGGTACAAGACGAAGGGTAAAATTATGGTCTATACAACCTCTATCAGGTCTAGAACCTGTCTGATTCTTACACGTGCACCTTTCAGGTAAGGTAAACAACCGTCGGAATATGGTGACAGTCAATGTTGCTGCATCAGAAGGCGTAAGTGCAATGAGGGGTAGACTTGACTAGCCTACGATCTTTGAACGGGAGGAGGGGGAGGCACCGTGTGATTGGATGGAGTCTTAATGTGGCAGCGTAGTATGTTCTTTGTAAAGCGTTTATAATACACTGCGTGATAAGCTGCATTATTGACTCAACGAAGCATACATTGGTAGCACCCACCGATCACTGCGAACTAGAATGACTGAACGAATCCCCAAGTATGTACGTGACTCAGGCAACACCACGCATTCCGACCGCATCACATAGACCGACTTCAGCCGTCGCACGTCACTTGGTTGAAAGCGGCCACAAAGTAGACCATGCGAACGCGTTCTCGGTTTTGTTACGTCATCGAGACAAACACCAAACAAGGATACTCGAGGGACTATCGATCTTTCACAACAAACCCACACTGTGCGTCTTAAAGCGTATGACCTTTATCCTTGGCCTTCCATGGTCGTAACCAATCACGTGCATCACACATGCACACAGTACATAATCATACACTCACACGATTGATACCAACTAGATTTCTTAATTCGCTTCATTTGTCTATCTTCTTCAGTTCATCCGTTTGTGTAAAAGTGTCATTTTTGCTATCCTTGAAAAAATGCAAAATTTGTTTCTATCTCGGGTCTGTAAATCAGTTCGTACATTTTGGCACTCTTCCTTCTATTGCTAAACTTTCTTTTCCAGAAATCCACTTTATAGCACTCGGGATTCCGATGAAGCGGGCAAGATCTCCTATTGGAAATGGCAACCATATTCCAGTTTTCTTTTGTCGGATATCTGGTCGCCCGATAAGTACTGGTATCAATCCAGTGACCCATCTGTGAACAAATCCGAGTCGGAATCCAACCCCCTTCTCACATTCACGGAGGACTTGATGCACCTATTTCGTCAATCCAAACGAGGCTCAGCTACAGACGTCTCGCCTGGAGGCCTTGCCGGTTGGACTTCTCGCCTGTCACTTACCGCCAGCATGCTGGGTACCACCGTGCTGTGCTGCAGTCTTGTACTAATGGCGACTTGTTTGGGTATGATCTTTTTCCAAGAATTGCAAGCCAAGTAAGCTTCATTTTTCATATACCGACGATCTACTAAACTAACAAGACCACGGTATTCTATCACTAATCATGCATTAGATATACGAATTTAGATTGGCGATCGTGATCAAGTTATTGCTTGAACTGAACAATTTGCACGGAGTAGGAAAGACAGAGCAGGTTAGGGCTAGAGTTTTTATTACACCTATCTGTTGGTAATTTAGGTCACTTAAAGGGACCGCAAAAATAAGCAAGTCGTTCATCAGCAGTGTTCCCCAAATTTTTATTTATTTTTATCTTTTAAGCTTGCGAAAATCTCATCATTGTCCTTTGTGACAATGATTCGGTGGTCTCCCCGCTCTTTTGTCCCTCAGCTTTGAATTGTGGCAGAAAGAACCAACGAATGCACAAAGAGAAGTCGAACTGTGATCCGTAGAGTCGAAAACACTTACATAATGGAAAACAATATTACGCGGCAAATATAATTGCTTCATCTAAAAGATAGGCTGTCTGCATCTTGGATCCTGATCAT